TGTTCCTGACAGCATTCCTTATTTCAACTTAACCCTCTCCACTGCCAGCCCAAACCTAATCCTTCCATGAGTTAATTCAAATCCTAACCTTCAAGGATAACAGAATGTGGAAGTTTAGTTTCTCTCTGTTGCCATTATTGCCCATGAAATGTCTGAACCCACAAATGTAATTGCCACATTTGCTATGTCTGTCTGTTCTGGTGTCTTCTACCTCCCTTAGGCAAATTCTTTTAATGGTACTCTAAAAGCAGCTTAATGTGACATACTGCTGCTCTAACTGTTATATATTATATTGAACATGGGTATTCTACTTTTTTCTACCACAACCTGATAATGCTATAATCAGAACAGTTTGTTCGGTTGTGCCAGAGTTAAGTGTGAAAAGCTTTGTGTGTAATTGCCTCCCACTCTACCTCATTTTCTATTGCCTTTTTGCTGCCATAATAGGTAAGTGGAAGAGGAAAAGTCTCTACTTAACTTTGCTAAAGTTATATTAGGAGAAGGTAGGCAAGACAGAGCTAGACTGCAGTGGCGTCCACAAACCATCAGACTTTTCATTGGCACTAATGGTGAAAACATATGAACCATAAACTCTAAGTTGAAACCAGAAACCAGACCTAAAAAAAACAAATGACTTCCCTTAAAATCTTCTACCAATGATTATGGATTTAAGTCAACACAAGTAAATAAATAAAACAACACACAATAAAAGTGCCTGGATCATGGCTCTTATGTACAGGACTCACAAATCAAGATACCTGTACTGGCTCTGTGCTCCACTGACGCCAGTGCAACCTCCCCTTAATACACACTGCCCTCCCTCAAACAGCTCGCCTCTCACACCAGGCGCCACTAGTGACTGTTTGCTTTGCCTCGACTGGCCCTCCAGCGAAACCACAGCCTTCTCCTCCTCCTGAGTGTGTGTCTATGAGGGCTTGTCAAAATGCCTCTGCGGTCTAATTCCATGTTTCAGTAATGGCTCAGCCGTGGGGAAACAATTCTTTCTCCAAATGTCCCACAAACACTATGAAATGCCACAGTATTATTGTGTTAGTTCATGCATGTGCATACAGGGGAAAATGCACTCACACACCGGTCAAAGACCTGGGAGTTTTAAGATTTATCTTTTTGCTGCAGCTAGAGGAAAAAAAATGTTCTCCTGAGTCGTCTTTTCCACTTACAGCTTCACTCCTGTTTTCTTTTTTTTTCTCAGTTCATGTTACAATTTTCCAGAAACCAGCTCCTGGTGTCTCGAGTGTGTGTGTGTGTGTGTGTGTATGTAGAGGGCTGGGGCGCAGTGAGCACTCTCCATCTGTGGGCCAGATTAAAAGTGGAGGAAAAAAAAAAAAGTCAGGGATGCATGTGTTGGGAGAGCAAGGGAATGAGCAAGAAAAGTGTTGGCATTTTTTCAGCATGTGTATGTCTGTGGATGGGAGTGTTACAGTGTATGCAGGGCTGGCCCACTCTGCCTGTCTCTCATGTGAAAAGCATGTGGCCAGTCTGCCAACATGGCTATCATGAGGCAGAAGCTCTCCTCTGATTGCTGGGTGCTCCTGGCTTGGTCTAATGCAGCAGGGATTTTTTTCCTTTGAAGTGTTTGTGGAAGTGTGCATTAGAAGTCAGTTAGCAAAAGCAATAGAGTTTGTTAGTATGGGAATTTGTGAATACATACATATCACCTGGCCGAACACTAAATTTCAGTTGTGTCATCAAACAACATCTGCAGTTTTTGTTTATAATAGAACCACAGCAACAGCCCTCAAGCCCTCATAAATCTCACAGCTGTCATTACAACAGCCAAACAGCTTCTCTTTTCAACAAGTCTGCTTTCCATAGAAAATTTGAAGTAAATACAAACGACTGGAAATAGCTCTGCAGATGGCAGATTGGGTTATGGTGTTATAGTGAGTCGCATTACCATGATGAATCAGCCCAAAAGTAGACTGTGGGCTGATTATTCACCAACATAATGTCAGACTAATATAACAACTAAAAAATTATTCAAGTCAAAAACATCCCAATGTGTCATTTTTCAGTGAAATGCAAATATGCAGTCTAATATGTGCGCTCTAAACATCCTCCAAACAGGTGTGTTGACAGGAATCCTCGCTTTGATTCATATGGGTGTGGTCATCTTCACTCCACCACAGGAAAGAAGGACAGGACAGGACTGCTGGATGAATCACTTTGTGGGTATTGGTATGGTCAGTGGTGTGCTCATTGCATGACTGGATGACTGGATGATTATGGGAAAAATGTGAGCCTTTGTGTGTGTGTGTGTGTGTTTTGTGTAAGGTCTAAATGCTATTTCTTACAGTTGAACTGGGTATTGTGGCTGGTTAACACAACAAAAGGTACAGAGGACAGTGGAGCAGAATAGAAGTGCATTATTGCTCTCTCTGGTGATTCTCTGTCTCACTCCATAGTCCAAATCCTGACTCTCACATGATAACCTGTCATAAAAAAGTTAATGATAATGCACACACCTCCCCACAAACAGTTCTCTTGTGTTTTTTGTGAATTGTCTTGCATTCCTGGAGTGAGATATGAAACAAATACAGGTTATGCTGATGTCACGCTGAATAATTTCCACTGCAGCTAAACAGTTCACAGTAGACAGCATATTGGTGTCAGCTCTGCATAATCCAAGTGCAAGGCCTTTTTTTGTCAACTTTAAAAAAGTTCTAAATTCATGCCATTCAAAGAGTCTATCTATGACTTACAGTAAATCACATGAAAACTAACCATATAATGTGTTTTCTTGACTTAAACATGACCTTATGACTTGAAGGCAGCATGACCTGCGGCTGAATGGACCAAGGTCAGGCATGTCCTCTGGGGTTTTTCAGAAGGCATTGTGCGAAATGTAGAAGTAAAGAAAAATACAAGAGAGGTTGAGGGAAAGTTGGTGCAACTGTAAAATCCAGGAATTCCACGAACAACACTTATTACTAATAAGAACTGAGGTATCTGAGGGTGAATTCAAGGAAACTGTCTAAACACAACAGCCAACAGCTCAAGGACAGAGGAGAAGCCACCTGAAACAAGATACCTCAATATTTACACTGCTTCAGTTTTCTGCCAGAGTATGTATTAAAAGCATAGATCAATCTCACATCCCTCATCCACATATGCAGCTATAAGGGTCATGTTTGTGTACAGCAACGCTTTCAAAATATGCCTGTTTTCAAAATACTTTTTCTCAGCTTTCATTAGGACAGCTGACCTTATAAAGTAAGCCATACCAGTTTTTTTTTTCACTGACAGTAGACTGGAGAGTAGAAACTGCAGCACAGCCACAAATCACGATGCATTTTGAGAATGACTCAGGCTCTTGCTTTCACTCCACTAGGAAAAATGTCATTCTGCCTTTGTACTCACGTCACCCTTCCTTTTCAACGTGTCTAACATTGTTTTTAGTCCAAAAAAGACAAGCCTACAAGTTTGTTCCTCTTACATTACAAAGATTATCCCACTGTGCATTGCTGGAAGCTTTAGCAGATCAAAGCATCTGTAGAAGAATGAAAAATGGTTCCATGATTTACCTCTGGCCCAGTCTGGAAAACAGTGTACAATACATAATTTCGCATAAAAGTGAAATGGATAATGCCTGTCACTACAGTTTGGCTCGGCCATGGTGCTTCATGTGAGAGTCTTTGTTAATGTTTTAACCTTGAACTGTCTGCGTTAGATCAACAGATGATACGATATATGTCATTGCCTACTGATGATGTAAAACCGCTCATAATTCTCATAATAAGGTTCATCAACCCTTTGCAAATGAACCGGAAAGACAGATAGACAATGGGCCAGATGGACAGACAGATGGTCAGAGTTTAACACACCATTATTAACATACAAAGCTCTACGCTGTCAAATAAACAGGCAAACAGCCACACCATCATCAACATTATTACACGATCACTAACAAGGGCAGCAACATGATAAATGTCCATCATTCGAGACCTATAGCAGATCAACTGCTGCCACAGCCCATATATGTGCCTATTGAAAGATAGTAGATTCAGTCTGAATCTTTATAGGGAGTGCATAAAAAAGTTTTTGTTCTAGATGACACACAGCGCAGGCATTTGACTGATCCAGTATGCAGCTCTGTGTTATGAAAACCTCCTGGAGACACATTTGATTCATGATCTTTGAACTCAGACTTATCTCCAAAAGGCTGTTTCATCTCCTGGCTTGAATTTCCCACAGGATCAGTAAATCACCAACATGCGTGGAATGCTAGGAAGTATCCAATAAGAGACACTAAGGAGCGTTTTGTGCGTGTATCTGCATGTTTAATGTTTGAGTTTTAACTTTCAACACTGCAATAAATCTTTGTACTCTGACATCATAAAACATCTTCAACATCATTTGTTTATGAAACAGCCTCACATGAACTGTGAATCTAAACATTTTGCTCCCTGGGTATAAGATGCACCACAGAGAAGAATAATAAGAAGACTTAAGTGTTCCGGGAGGCTGTGCTCTCTCTGTCACTGGATGTGTTGATGAACGAACTGGATGCACGTGTCGGAGCTTGCCTGTTCCTGGTGGTGACTGAGCCGGCTTTCATCCGCACACTCACAGAGCTTCTGCCAGTCACCAGCACCAGAGTGTACATGCATCAGAGCTCACAGCAGCTTGCCTTTGATACCTCTCAGGAGTGAGCTACAGATACTGGTGACTCTTAAAGTTGAAAATCGATTGATTCTGATTTTGGGGGGCATTGAAGTACTCACATGTGTTGGCAAACTGCTGGTCAGTGTAAGAGAACTGCATTGTGAGAGAAATTGAGCTGCAGCCCCAGTGACAAAATGTGTGTGTGTTGGGGTCAAGTACCTGTTAAATACTGGAAACTGTGCTGGAAAACAGGCAGCAAGAACTCACTGACCCTCTTGATATACTAATAAACTACAATGTAGAATGTATGTGTTTGTTTACCCCAACATGTCAGAAACTGATGTTGTACTTGCAGTAATGGTCTTGAGGCTTACCTGGAGAGAGGTCTCCGTCACTCTGCTCTCCGGAGTCTGAATCCATCTTCCCTGCAGGACAGTATGAGGCTGCAGAAGCTCTCTGATTCCCCTTTATTCTTGTTCCGTTTCCTCTCCAGGGAGACTTCTGAATTCTTCACCCAGAGAGAGAAAAAAAAAAGAAGCAATTTCTAAACTTCCCCTCCCAGCCTGGATCACTGCTGCTGTGAGAGGAATGCCACTGGACTGATCTGCTGAGCTGTCCCCCTTTTTTGCTCTCTTTTCCCTTTGCTCTCTTCTCTTCTCCTGACTCCTTCAGTTTCCCTCTTCCCTTCTCCCACTCATCTACTTTCCCCGTTTCTGATACTCCCTCCCCCTCGCTCACTCTCGGTCCGCCCCCCTCTCAGTTTCTCCCTCCCTTGTCCTTGCCACTCGTTCCCTCCTCCTCCTCCTCCTCCTCCTCTCATTCGGTGCTGTCACACTCAGCCTCTTCACGCTCTCTCCACTCAAACTCTTTCTCTACCTCTTTCTGTATGCTGTAAGTGCCGTCTCTTTTTCTCTCTCTCTTCCTCTCTCCCTCCCTCCCTCTGTCTCTGGGTAAGAGTGCTGCCTGTGTTTTAGCAGAGCAATGGGAGAGACTCATTCATGGCAACTTGAAATTCATCTCCAGCAGCAAAAATCCCATGACCCCTTGTTAGTGGCTGTTATAAAATCAGTCACTTACTATCTATGGTAGTCACATGAAGTCACTCCAGGTTATTGTTTTATTATCTACGGTAATCATTGACTGGATCTGAAATGGTGTGGGTCATTTGAAGGTGATAGGAAAGTAGTTTTTGAGTTGTATTAAATGATGATTCACATTTAGAAGAGAAATCCACCAAGTTGAGTTGTACAGTTCTTGTGTGCTTTCCATCACTGATCCAAAGCATACTACACATTTAGATTCTTTCTTACAGGAATTTATCTGTTTCCACATTTAAGGATTCTCCTGCATGCAATATTTCAGAGCAAGGAAGTTATGGAGTCCATATTTGTCTTTAATGCCAGTTCAGATGTCAGTGTATCCTTGAGTTTTCAGAACATTCCCTGCTTTAAAATTCACAACAAATATATAACTTAAAAAATAAAATAAAATTACATGAAACTTATTTCCATTGTAAAGTATTCCCAATAATATTGTATTCTTTAATTCTGCACTAAACCCACAGAGAATTACGGTATTATCTGACTGCATTTCCCCTCACAGAGAGGAATACAGAGACTTTTAGAGTCTTTGAGCTCATCGTTTTTGTTTTTACAGCCCACGACTGTTTTGGTTCACTCTCACTGCTCTCATCAACTTGGTTTTCAGTTGCTGGCAGCTGTTTTCAGATAAAAAGCCCAGATAAAGCCAATGTATGCTAACTGCATGCTAAATGGCAGACAAGGATAATGACAGCTTGTGAACATCATGGAAATTACAGTATGAAAAACAAACAAAACAAAAATAAAACAAACAAAAATGAACAAACTACATTATGTTGCAGAGCTAGATGTGTAGATAGGCAACTGTTTGCTACAAGTTCAATACAACAATTTATAATATGTCAGTGTTTATAGCCCCAAACAACCAAAGGAATCAGCTTTAAATGCAGCTATTTATAATATTTGCTCATGGATAACTTGGCAAAGTGCAATCTGTTTCAGGTTTTAGTGTCAGAATCAAACAACAACAGATTCTATGTCGACTAACCATTTTACACATTTAACAATCGCGCAAAGATAACTTCATTGTAGAAGAAGTATAACACTTTCTCCACCCACTTAAAGCAAGACCTTGTGTTTTGTGTATAGGTCGTGAATTTCACTAAAACTCTCATTACAAAAAATATTTTACTCTCTTCTCCACAGCTGAAAACAAGAAACAAAGAGAGGCATTCTGGGAAATAACTTATGAATTCAGTCACCAAATGAACATCACTTCATCACAAAATAACTCCACGACACTGAACATGACAGATTGGTGATGTATAAAATGTGTTAAACCATCTTAGGGTGGGTGTCTCTTTTAATCAACTTGAATTACCTTTTGCCTGTGGTCTGTGAGGCAACACAGAGCTCAGATTCAGAAGCGTGGGGGCAGGTGGGCATGCAGTTGGTGGTCCGACAACAGTTGCAGGCGATACCATCTCCCAGGTGTGGAGCTGACTGTTGCTCAGCATGAACACTGGGCACCAGATGGCATTAGCCTGCCTGCCCACTGCCCAAGGCTGACTTATCTTCGACACTGTGTGCATTTGTGTACATGTGCATGTGTACAATATTGCAGTGACAAAAGAGATATGCCACTACTCACAACAAGCCAAGGTACTTTGATCTGAGCAATAAAGCCGGATATTTCTATAACCTGATGTGACATGTAGGCTGTATGAGCATGAATAGAAACAGTGAGACACAGAAGCATAAAAGTTAGTCTACGGTCTGCTTGGAATAGTACTTCAACTTTTTTTTTATTAAAAGTTTCCAGAACCCAAATATTGAAACAGAATTTTATTACTGAGCACAATTCACTCCCTCTGGCTTTGCATAGGAGCTCTTGAGTTTCTGGCCTTAGAAATTCAGTTTCTGACATAATCACCATCATCTGCATCTCCATAAATGTGTCCTCAGTAATGTGGGGCCATTTAGATTGTATGTTCTTTTGCTTGTATAACTACAAGCTACTGTCAAATCTACTGTGCCTCTGGGTTGTAGGACAAACCAACCAAACTTCACTGGGAGATAATGACCATTGGTGAAAGAAGAATTCAAATCCAGTACCACAGTATAAAAATACTCCATTACACATGAAAGTCCTGTATTCAAAATGTTTAAGTCCATAAGTGTTATCAGCAAAATACTTCAATATCAAATAGTAGTCAATATGCATGGAGTTATAATATACATTATATTATAGGGTTACTATTACTGATTAGTTCATTGGTAAGCAGCATTTACATGTTTCACAGTAGCTGGTTGAGGTGAAGCAAATTTAAAGTACATTATATAAAATGTTATCCATCCATCCAGAATGTATCCTAGGGTCACAAGGGGCAGGAGATTATCCCAGTTCACATTGTGCTGGTGGTGGGGTGCACTCTTGACAGACAACCAGTCTATCACATGATACCTACAGGCCATTTAGAGGCACCATGTTTATCTAACCAGCATGTTTTTGGACTGTGGGAAGCAGTGGTGGAAAATAACTACGTACATTTAATATAAATCAACTAAAAAATGATATGATGATATATTATTGTACATTTAGCTATAGTGATGTACAGATTAATGCATCACTAATTATAATCTGATAATATTATATAAACTGTTCTGAAAAGGGCCATTCTGCACAATGAATTCTTTTACTTTAGGTAATTTAAATATATTTTGATTGTAATACTTTTTTCATTTTCTTAAACCTACTACAAGGAGTTTAACTGTTTATAAAACAGTCTCAGTTTAATTCTGATGTCATATGTCCTACAGAAGCACATCACCATCAGTGAGAAGACTGATTTCTTTGTAGTTATTCTCAAGGCCTGCCACTGTCTGTCACTGATTTCAGCACATTCCCATCAAGTAGTGATGGTCGAGTAGAAGTATTAAGTATTGAAGTATAATAACATGTAAATACTGGTAAGGCACTAGTGTCTTTAAATTGTACATAAGTAAATTAATGTAAAATAACTACAAACCCAAACTGGTGCTAACAGACAAATGGACAGTCAGATAGACTAACTGCAGCACCAAACTTTTCAGCCGCAACCTAAAACCTCCAAACTGGCTCATTTTGAAAGTAGACAGAAAAGGAAGACTAAAGAAAAAAAGGAGAAGAAGAAGAAGAAGAAGAAGAAGAAGAAGAAGAAGAAGCAGAAGAGCATCCTGTAATGATGAGTGCCACCACTCTCCTCTGATGTTCAATAAGAAACAAATGAGCTGAGTTTGCAAAGCGGGCCACATGAAAAGGCCATGAAGTGAGAGTTTGCCTGTGATCCAGTGCCTTTACTGGCAGAGAGCCTTTCCAGTCTGGCCCTCTTCAGACAGACTGGCCTGATGAAAGAGATTCACTTCTGTTTCAAGGGGGGGTGGGGCTATATATATATACATACATATATATATACATATATTTACACTTTTCTTGTGATTATCTAAATATTAAAACAAACAAATGTCTGACAGCATCATGGAAAACAGAGTCATTGCGGGACTGTGGGAGGTACAGTTCGCATTGACAATGTACCGACAATGTAGAAAGATGAGTATATTGCCAGTTGACCCTTTCTGGTAGATGTTTCCATGGTAACCAAGGCTCCCTTTTAATAAAGCAGTAATCCAGCAGGGGTCTGAAACAGAGA